AGAACTCTTGATAATACAGAAAGAACAATTTTGCTGGAGTATCTAAAAATTTAGCAAGATACATATGAAAATCATTTCGTTGAATTATTAAAATAATTCTATAACGCTCAAGCTAGTTTCTAGAATATCAAAATATAGTATCGCTGTATTTTGTAATTTTACAGTATTGCTAATTATGTTAGAATGTTCTACATAATTTTGATGGGCCAAAAAAATTATTTTTAAGTCTTTCTAGCTAAATTTTTAGATATTTTAACAAATCGGCCATGCATGTTAAAGAAATAATATAAATGTTAAATTTTAATAATGCAAATTGACAATCTTTCCGCATAAGGAAAAAATGGAAATTAAATAATTCATTCCTATCTTAAATTATATATAAATACTAAAAGTTAGAAGCCAATTAGAATTATATATTCTTCAATTTATAAATTAGTTTAAAAACTACCATAAAATTAAGATCGATAACAATAAACTTGTTCGCGAGCCACGAAAATGTCACGTCCGTTTGAAGATTGAATTTTTTTTTTTTAATCAAACGAGTCGTGTTGAAATCGTGAAAAAAATTGATGTTGATCAGTCGTAGGAAGCTCGTGATCGCGCGATATCGATATTATCGGTCACCGGGAGAGCTAAGTAAGCCGAGCGCGAACGCGACGAACGCGCATCATCCTCGTTCGTGGGTGGTGTGGTGGAGGAAGGTCTGTTCTCCAAGGCGGAGTTGGACATGCGACCACCTCCAACACGGCAAGATCACCTGGCAGGTGACCAATGCAGCGGCGCCGATAAAAGCCATGAAAGAGCGCGGCTGGGACCGTCGGCTGGTCGCTCCTCAAAGGGGTCCCACGACGAAGGCGGAGCCTTCCGTCGGAGGCTTTCCTCCTTTCGTGCCTGCCTTTCGTTTCTTTTGCGTGCCCTCGACGATCGCGACCGCAGAAACCGGCAGTTTCAGCCGAGACTTCGGAGCCAACAGGTCCGTCCTGCTTTGCGTCAAAGCGAAAATTAAAAAAATAAAAAGGGCAGCGAGTCCTCTTTTCATTTCGACCCCTCGCAGTGAAGGCGAAATCGAGTGTTACCGTTGTCGCCGCTGGATGCTGCTTGTTATCGCTAGGCGCATGCGAGAAAGTGAGACTTTGATTTGTGAATCGGATTGTGAGCCGGACTCGAAATCGACGGAAGTGAGGATCCTTGGTGTGATTGGTGCTGCTGGTGACTGAGAGAAACGAAGAAAAAAGAGAGAAACAAACGGAAGAGATTCTTTCTGAAAAAAGGAACAGCTAGATGGCAGTCAGCACTATCAATATGGCACCTTACTTCACTGGTTATCCTTTTCAAGGTAAAAATTTTAATAAAAAATATCCAACACACACACACACACACACACACACACACACACACACACACGCGCGCACGCACGCACGCACGTACCATGCACGCACACACGCACACGCACACGCACACGCACACATACGCGCGCGCGCGCGCGCCAGAGCAAAATGTAAAAAATCTTCATAATGATTTTCCTCTCTATATAGATATTTTTATTTCTGAATTATTAATTTAAAATTTTACACAATCCACGATATTCCAATGCAACAAGATATAAAGAATATTTAAATATATCTTTAGGAGATTATTTTTTATAAAAAATACACTTTGCATTTCGCGCGAAAAATGAAATTCCGAATAATTTACTGATAATGTGATAAAAGTGAGAATATACTCATAATGCGCCGGTCCATCATGAACATCAAACTGTTTATTTATATAGCAAAATGAAATGAATATAGTGATATGCAAGAATAAACTAAATGATGTAATTAATTGATTGCAGCAATTTTTTAAAATTATTTAAATGTCAAAACATCACAACAGCACACAACAACAATTCTGTGATCTCGCTTTTATACGAGATTGTACGAAAATATATTTTATGTATATAATTTTATGTAAAGATTTTATTTTTGGTGCTTCTTTCGAAAAATAAATGCTATTGCTTATTATAATATAATTAGATACATTCATTTACGAAATATATAAATTAAAAAAGGCAAGTATTATTTATCTGTGGTGGGTTGAGTTTGACAACTTATGTATTCGTGATTATTTTCGTGAGTATTTTCTGCGAGTTTCACGATAACAAATTTTTTTCTCCAAAATTTGTTTCGTTTTATATTTATAACTTCGTAAAGGAAAAATAATATTTTTCGTTATTTTTAGAAATTTTGCCTCATTGAGAATATATCGCAATTAACATCAGCGCGAGTTTCACGACAATGTTCGACGTCCGCCGACGTTTCCGCAACGATGTCGCAGATATTTTACAGTCGATGTTAATGGTTTTACGATGCGCTTTGACTGAATTATCCATTGTCCGTCAGCGCATGTATGTGTGCGACTCCCAATGAACGACTCTGCTATCTTTATAATACCGTTACTATATTTGATTTGTATGCAATCGGCCCGGCTGATTAATTCATTCTAAGAGCTTATCACTCACGAAAACTTATAGTATTTAATGCTGTTACGTAATTCGGAAAGAATTTGTATGTACGTTTTGTGACGTTTCGCAATATGACATGCTGACTATGCATGCTATGATTTCAAAGTCTGGACACAGAGGCAGAAAGAGAGGAAGAGAGAGAGAGAGAGAGAGAGAGAGAGAGAGAGAGAGAGAAAGAGAGAGGAAGAGATTGTGCATAATCGCACAGAAGCTCGTACGTTATTCTGTAATTTATTGTGTAATTTATGAGTTATGGAACAGTGCGCGACGCTGACGAGTAAATTTCGAGGGGCAGTTCCTACCTAAGGGGCCAAAAGAATATGCTGTTTTCATCCTTTGTGATTTATTACATATTTAATCGAACAGATTAATGCTTCACCTTTATAAAAAAAGCAATAGAAAAATGACATAACTATCTCACCTTTCATTTTTCAATTTGTCGATAATTTCCACAATATCTAATATTATAATATTGCTGTGTTATTAAAAAAGTGACACAAATAAAAAAATTAGCATTTTTGAGATAACAAAAGAACTCGAATTTAAAGTTTTTAGGCCAATTTTCTTTTATTATCTAAAAAATATTATTTTTTTATTTGTATTGTATATTTGTCTTTTGTATTGTACATTTTTCTATCGACACAATATAATACATTATACATATATTATTCTTATTGTCAATCAGCTAAATGATTCATCTTTTAGAACTAAATAGTTATCTTCTTTTCTTCTACAATCTACATAATGTAGAAAAGGATTCCGAATGGAGAACGATTCAGATCGCTTTCACTCACGTGCGTCTTTAAATCTCGATTGTTTATCCATTATTCCGAGGAGTATACAGAAAAAGAGAAAACAAGAGACAGAGAGAAAAAGAGAGAAGGGGAACTACAGCCACTTTCGAATAAAGTTCGATATACAGGTTCGCGTGTAGTGGGCGTCGGATCGTTGAAAGAGTCCCGGGGTGATACCCTGTACCCGTGGGTACCTAATGTCTGATATCGGATAGGCCCCGGGCGACGGCACGTTGATTGAAGTCCTCGCGCGACTCGGAACTCACACCGCACGCACTAAGTACATGCATCCCTTCGGTACATGCGGTTACTCCCACTCAGGTACGCGCGTGTACCTTCCGCTCTCATCCAGCATCCTCTGATCCGGGAGACCGATCACCGCATTCGTATCTCGGCAGAGATTGCGTAATCGACGCAACGGAACTTTCGTCGCTCCACTCGATGCCTGCGAAATTAACCCTTTGCTCTTTGGAATTGTACGCACACCGCTCGGCAATTATCATTAAGCCACGTAAACGATATGTCTTTTACAAAAAAAAGTTGTATAATGTATCTAAGAATTAATGCTTTATATATAATAAGATTTTAATAAATTATTAATAATACGTGGAAGAAACGGTTTTGCTAAAATATATAAAAATTTATAGTTAGATATAAATCGGAAAATAATTTTGATGGATTATCGAGAAAACTCTTTAAGAGCACTAAAAAAAATTTCTGGATGAAAATGAATGAATCAAAATTTTCTGATTAAATTTATTAGAATTCTAGTTAAGATAATCGGAATTCTGATTGATACAATATTTCTCATAAAGTCTACTAGACTTCTTATTTTAGACTTCTTATTTTAGAATTCTTATTTTAACAGAATAATTATACTTATCAAGCAGAATTCTCGTTATTTCAACTAGAATTCTAGTAGATTTAATTTAGAAAATTCTGATTCGTCCATTTTCCACCAGAATTACTATTTAATCAAACCAGAGACTATTTTTCTCAGTGAGCATTTCATCATGCTTCAGCTTCTTACATAATTATTTGTTTTGATTGTCCATTATTATTAGATTTTTAAATTATTATTATTTTAGATTATTAGCTGCATTTCTTTACTTGAGCAGCTATTCTTTTCCTTTTTTTGTGCTTCAGTTACATATTACTGATGTACAATATTTAAAAGAATATTTCAATGAGAGAAATATAACATATATGATATTATATTCATATTTCTTACATTTTATTTATATAAAGAATTAAATATATATTTTAATGTATAACATAATATATATAGAGAGAGAGTAACACATTCAAAGAATATTTTTTTTAATTGTTCTCTATCATATCGGTTCACATTCATCGATAATCAGGAACGCCAGATGAAACGATGCGCGATCGAAACGACTCCGGGAGGCTCTGTGTCGTAATTGGATGATGATCAGTTACAGTTAAAAGCCTCGAATAACAAATTTAGCGATCGCATCCTGTAATCCCTACGAGCCGTGAGACGTTCCGTATACTTCATCACGCGAAAATTGGAGCGATCGCATACCTTGATGCGATCCCTTAATGAGATTCAATTAATACCCTGATAATATGTTGTTATTACTGCTTAAGAGCGATAAGGGGGCCGCGACAAGGGATACAAGGGATTATCATAAAGAAAAATTTTGTAGAGAGCATAATTGTACAGCTCGCGGCTTGTGAACCGCGGTAGTGTCGCGGCCACAAAATACAGTGTACGTCGACTCTTCGCACGTAATAATTTATCGAGACCGATCCGAGGAAGAAAAAGGATTAATTGACGTCTCACGACACGCAGATAATGAACGGCCGGCGACGTATGTCGCAATTATTTCGGAATTCTCTAAGCACCTCCGTGTCTAAGAGCACCCTCGGCCCGACGAGGCCGTCGCTGCCTCGCAGGTAAAAATTAACGATGCGCGACGCTTCGTCGGGCGAATTCAAATCAGACACGGGTCCTCCCCGCTATCTCGTCACGTCCGCACGCGGATCATGGACATTAAGTCTTGATCGCTGAACAATCAATCGCCCGTTATCAATAATTCATGCTGGAAATTATTTCTTTCGACGTTTTACCATACGGTCTCACCCGGCCACAGGGTGGTCCATCATACGAACCATACGAGTCTCGCGAAAATGATTCCACTGCGTTTCTACCATAATAAATTACGCGAGGACATAAATCATTCACCAGCTGCTTGGATTAAATTGTCCTCCCGAGAAAATCGTTTTGTTACAACCAAACTTAATGCCGTGACATTTAAAAAAGAAGAAAAGAATCTCTTCTTTTTTTTTTATTATTCAAACATCCATCTTTTGTTCACTTTCAGTTTTCATCATTGAACGCGTTTTTGCCATATTTTAGAATCGAGACAAAGACTCATAGATTCCACGGACATGTGTACAAATCACTTCGATTTCCGATCGAAAAGAATAGACAACTCGGGCTTTTGCAATCGATACCGGGACTAATCGCGCGAGACGCAGTGGGAAAATCCGCGAACGCACGTAGCGACGGCGCGTTCCGCAAGAATGCGTCGAACAATATCCATCGGCAAATAGGGAACAAAAACGTGAGTAAAGGGCCTGCTCACACGGGCGGTAACATTCAACTTTCGATTCCGTGACTCGAGTTACGAACGCTGAAGTTCTTAAAGCGAGCCTCGCGCAAGAATGTAATAATCGCAGCGCAATGCATATACATGCGTAGTAATGTATACGTCTAAGTATTGCACGTGCGACGAATAGTAGTCTGGCATTCTTGGCATTTGCCTCGTGCCACCGCATGGATTTTCTTAGTCGTTTTCGTAATCGCAAACGGGGATCTCGATGGGAAAATTGATATTAGATCTGTCTTCAATTATCTTTCTCGTATTTTCCTTTCATTGGAATTAGTGCCAATTATTGCCAAGATGAAAGAAAATGCTTCAATTTATTTTTTTCTTTTCTGAGAAATTACTCTGGCCTATATATCTGCGGCTGCATCTTCTCCTATTTCTCTTAATTGCGACAATTTCTGTGTCTTCACGTTCTCTTTAGCTTTCACTGTTAAAATCATAATGTCAATTATACTTGAATTATACTTTATTTTTAATTGTTTCTATAAGTCGCTTATTTTTCTACCTAATTTGTCGTTAATTTAATTAAAACTTAAACAATTTAATTCAAAATGTCTTTAATTTGACTCAAATTTAATTTATTTACTAAGTATATACGTTAATATGAACGATATTTGCTGTGAAATTAACTACCAAAATGAATTGATTTTACATTTTAATGGATTGATTTACATTTCACAAATAAAAGTTAAAAATATCAAAATGTTATTTAACTCAAGGTATTTAATTAACAGTGTTTCTCTAATTACTAAATATTTATTTAATACTTCGCTACTGGTCAACTTCGATCCCTAATCAGTTTATGCATTTTTTCAGAAATTCACGAATATCACGCGCTTCGCACCGAAAGCTCGTCGTCGTCGTCATAGTCGGCGGCGGTGGCGGCGGCGGTCGGCGCCTTTTGATCTTGCCTGTAATCCCGTCGGGCCCCGCGGCCTGACTGACGTCATACACCAGAGAGGTGTCCGGCGGGACCGTAACCCGGCCTATACACACCGGCACGACCGGTGTGTGTGGGAGTGTGTGCGTCGCACGCACTCGCGGATATGTCCTTACTGAGCGCGAGAAGATCTCAGAGAGGGCAGGGGGCAGCAGGAGGCTGCGGAGTGACGGAGGGGAACGGAGGGGGATGTAAATCTCTGGGCCCGTGATGAACGACGAAACGGGACTACTTTTGTGCCGGAGAGCTCGACGCGCCCAGGAAGGGGGTCGTCTTTTGAATTACGCCGTGGTAATTAGCGGACTCCTTAGACCCCGCGCTTCTCGCAGCAGGTAGCCAGCTGAGAATATATCACGAACTGGTGCTGCGCCAGCGTGCGCCGTTGGTCCCCGATGCGATCGTGAAAATGTTTGGATTATCGGGGATCCGCACCGCGAGCTCCACTAGTTTTCGCCATTAAAACCTGCCGCGATAACTCTTTCTCATCGTTCTTGAATAATTTTAAGTTGTCATTCGAAAGAGAAATATAAAAGAGAATATAAAGTATACGGGCGAAGTCTAGATACAGTTCAAATATTATTTGCAGAAGAGATGAATTGTATGGAATTTAAAGAAATAATTGAGTAGCATACAGAAAGAAGTATATGTATAAATTAACAGTAATATATTAAGAAATTGATGTTTTATTAAAAATAAAGAATACAAGCAATACGCATGTTTGGATTTACCATTAGGATGCAGCATCTTCGCTGTGTGGAGAACATCACAGCTCCGATCCGGAGCATCGCACGCAGCATCCGCGAGAGACGCGCATAAGTGCGTCTCTTCTCTTATGCAAAGTTTCCTTTATGTAAATAGGTACAAACACACAGGATATGGCCGTGCCTCCGGTTGTCCGTCGAGGACTTCCCCTATTGTCCCCGCGCGCGAAAGAGAGAGCGCTTTTAAAGGCTCCCCAGGCTTTTAAAGCCGCTTCGACGTTCCCTTTTGTCCCCTCATCCATGGCTTTTACTACTCCGTGCAAAACCAGGGCCGTAACTCGTGACGCGGTCCTCTTTCGTGGTTTTCTGAAGCACGCGAGGTGTCCATGTTCGCGGCGCATCATCATAAGAGCCACCGCACATCCGCACGCATCTCATTCCGCTTCTTTACCCCCATTTGCTAGCCAGAACCGCTTTGCCCATTGCGTGTAACGCCGTTTGTTTGACTTCGTGATTATAATTAAGTTAATTAAAGGGATGTCGTGGAAGGGAGGGGGAGGTAGGCTAATTACCGGTAATTAGCGGTGTTTGAGCGGCACCTCGCGTGTCGTCGCGCTTTGTTTGCTAAGCGGCCCTCTTTTGCGCAAGTTGAATCTCTGTTCTTTTTCTCCTCCGTCACTTTTGTACGCGGATCCGTTTATTCTCATTTAGAAAAATGGTCACGCCACTTGCGCCGTGCTGCATTGTATAATACTATGGCGCCGAGAAAATACACTATTTTTCCTCAGCTTCGTTACCATCCAGCGCACGGTAGTGTTTTCTTCTCGTCTCACGAGATACAATGTATTTAATTGCATACACATAGTTTCGAATATTGTCATCGGTACATGCCGATAATTACTTCGTAAGAAACAGTCCATAGAAATCTATATTGCGTTTTCTGTACTTCTCGCGCCGGAAAATTACGTCTTTTAAAATAGTGATTTCGATCTACGTCATCATACGTCGTCTTTGATGTCCCCGACACCGAAATTTGCGTGACGGTCTTTTGCCCATTCCGTTATTATTAAACAATCATGTATGACCCGTCGTTCTCGTACCGTGGAAATAGATGTACCAGACAACATGACGTGCCATTATGGTAAACGGTTCTGTGTTATTACATTTGCAGGACAGGGTCGCGTGAACCAGCTAGGTGGTGTATTCATCAACGGCCGTCCATTACCGAACCATATCCGTTTGAAGATCGTTGAGATGGCAGCGGCCGGCGTCAGGCCATGCGTCATATCGAGACAGCTCAGGGTGTCACATGGCTGCGTCTCGAAGATTCTGAATCGATATCAAGAAACAGGATCGATAAGACCCGGTGTGATTGGCGGCAGCAAACCGCGAGTCGCCACGCCGGAAGTCGAGGCGAGGATTGAAGATCTTAGGCGGCAGAACCCTGGAATCTTCAGTTGGGAGATACGCGAGAAATTGATAAAGGTCTGTTGATATCATCCATTTCGCTTATTTGTTTTTAAATTATAGAAGGAGAAACATCTTTCGGTGTCATACTATATATTATGCAAATATCGCATAAAAGTAAACATATTTATTGTAACAAGTTTTTTTCAACTAAAATGTCAGACATTAACAAATATAACGACAAATGTATGTATCTTTAAAAATAAAAAGATTATAGCATCTCTGGTAGAAATGTTATGCATTTTCTAAGTAGTTACTGGACAGTTAAATATTAATTCTTTGTTTAGTAATTGAGAACAAAAATTATTTAGAATCCCAATCAAGATGTAACATTTTATCTGCAATTAGTATGCACAAAAAATATGCGAGATACGTTTACTGCAATTAGAGTGCACAAAAAATATGCGAGATACGTTTACTGAACAAAAATAGGATAATAAATGGACTACGCGATATTTTAACTAATAATAATCTATTGATATACTAAACAACAACTGAGCAGGTGTCTACACACGTACACGTACACACATAAATTGCACATATTTTTACTAGAGAAACTACACTGAATAAAACTCTATTAAATTTTTGTTCATTTCCTACGCAATATTGTTACAACTAATGAGAATACAATAATATTAGATAATAACTGGATGGATATCTAGGAAATTGTATACATTTCTATCAGGGATACAAAATAAAAGAAAATTACAGACATGCACACTAGAGAGCCGCACCGAAAGATGAAGACATAGTGTTATGTAACATTTTTCTTTTTTTTATATAAATAAACGGAGCCGTGCAAAATCTAAAGTAAATGATAGAGATGTGCGTTAAAAGTAATTTAGAAATATAAGGATACCTAAAGTATACACTGCTTTTTGTTTATAATTTTTTTAAATATGTATCTTCATGATATTATGTTATATAAATTATTGGAAAATGTCATTTAAATCATGAAAGAAATATCAGTTGAAAGAAAAATTATGCTAACTAGTCCAACGCGGTTCTGCTAGCAGGACGGAGTCTGTGACAAAGCATCGGCACCTTCCGTATCTAGTATCACCAGACTTCTACGTGGACCAGCCAATCAGACACGACCCGGTGATGACCTACGCAGAAATCATTCTATTGATGGTATTCTTGGTGAGTGTTATGAGTAACATTTATGATCATCGCGATACGATCTGCCGAGACTATCAAGATTTCCTACACGATGTGCGGTTCACCATCGAAAAATATATTTTCAAAGTTCGCAATACATATCGTCGTTTTAACACTGCATAAACCACCGGGCAGACGCAAATGAAGTGCCCGGGGTTAATCGAGCAATAAGCGTAATTATAGCGTAGTCATGTGCTAAGTTAATTGAAGCAAGGCGGCCACGACGATCAACCGTTTGTAGCCTATGTATTCAAAGTGCCCGATCTGAAATGCTATTCGACACTTTTTCCATATGCGTAATACGAAAGGAAGTCGTTATCTTTTTCCGTACAGTCTTTAAAGTCGAAAGTTTTTAACGTGTTTATAACTACGAACTCATATATGGAAGTAATAAGAGATTCAATTACCGATCGCACCAAGGGATGTAATTATTACGTAGATACTTTTCGCGACGTTATCATTTGTATTTCGTTTATTTCACATTCGTGTTGAACGTTACATGAGCCTCGAGATATGTACGAGTTCTACTTATTGAAGTATCCAGCAGTTTCGTAGCCACGCTGGGGATTGGTAGGAATATAGGTCCGGTCGGCGAAACGTAAAGGGGAATTCCTTTCTTTTTTATTTATTACTGGCGGTAAGGGGTGCGAAGAAATATTAGGCGTCCCGTGGCGCGTAGATGTGTCGAGTTTATTACCTTGTCGGGAAGATTTAGTTTTGATTAGACGTATGCCCGAGATTGCAACTTCGCGCAACGACTCACGGATGGTGCTCGACCTGTTGCTTCCTGTCGCATTGAACAATCTTTTTGCGCTGTTGTGAAAGCGACTTTCATCTTCTTGATATTATTCATATTATTTGTTGGAAATATTTTTATTGTAAATAAATACGTGATTTTTACGTGATTTAACGAGAGTCAAATGAGAATTAAAGCAGCTGATCAATATTGAAATAATAGAAATACAAAAAAGACGGTTTGCTGAAATATCTAAAAATTTAGCTAGATTTAGCTAAATTTCACAAATGAGCAATGCTGCAGAAAGTTTTGACATTCTAGCAATGAGTCTGTACGTCTTACAGAATTATTTTAATGGTCCAACAAAATTATCTTCAGATCTATATTTAGCTAAATTTTTAATTTTTTACTTTAGATGAACTACAGATCTGAAATAATTTTATTGGACCATCAAAATAATTATGTTAAGACATTCAAATAATGTTACAAAATATTTTGACATTCTAGTAACTAGTTTGAAAAAATTCACACAACATTATTTTGATTTAACAGAATTAATTTCAAATGTACCTGTATTTAGCCGAAAGGTACTTCAGTGAAATTGTTCCGGGTGCTTTTTATCATGAAGACAATTCTATATATTTTAAATAAAGCGATCGATTATTTATCACCAATATATTTTACGCGAAGAATCGTTAATAAGTCACGACGTTGAGATAAAATTGCCCCGAAGGTAGCGATTCAATTATGAATACTTCAATAAAAGTCCTGAAGGAAGACGCATAGATCTTTATTGGGTTCGCCGCGTTTGCAGGCCGGGTAAATTATGTATTATGATTCGAACAAAGGGGAGGAACAAGAAGAAAGTCAGGCGCTGTTCCCGCCGCTAATGCACCGCCGCGAAAGGAAAGGATATGGAGACGAAGAAGAGGAAGAAGAAGCAGGGACGAGTCTTTTTGAATGCACACCTCGGACGTAGAACCTTCATTCTTTTTATTCAATCGCAGCGTGATGGTTTAGCACTGAAGTCGGCGATGTATTGGATCGGCTTATGACGCGGACGTGGATTGGAGAATGAAGAGAAAGAGCGAGATAACATGAGCGATTGATGCACTAATGCGATAATAACACATCATCATAGTCAAGTAACAGAATACGGATAAGGATGTCTTCCTGATATTTCTCTCTTTACAAGAATACTTAGCGTTTGATATAAGCACACAGACAGACGCACACAATTTAATTTTTTCTAAATATATTCTTCTGTCATATATGTATATTAATTACTTCTCTTAAGAAGAAAACAGTAGAAGTTAAATGAATGGTTAAATACAAAGTCGTTAAATAGCGACAAAATGAGAAATAGCAAACAATCTAGTAGATCGGATGCACGATGCAATCAACGCGAGGGAACTTAAAAGGTCTCACAAATACACACTTCAATCATTTCGTCTCGCGTCCATTCATCTTCCGTGCACCTTTCTCCCCTCGCTGGCATGTCAGTCCCAGAATGCAAGATCACCCGGCGGTTCCGGTAGCCAAGAACACGCGCGATAAATAACCCCGCGGTCTGTCTCTCCGTCAAAGAAATCGGGAGGAACGATCGCGCGGGGCGACAAGAGAGAGGGACAGATCCGGGCGTAGCTCGTGCAGAGAAGGAGGAAGTCAGATGGAGCAGAGTTGGAGGAACGTGAAAGAGAAGAAATCGGATGGAACGACTAAGAGGAGCAAGAGCAGTCGAACCTGAGGAACAAGACGAGGAGATGGCGTGGATTCCACAACGGTGCAAGGAGGACGGATGGACTTGCGCGCATATATATAGTATATACCTACGCGGCACCAACCGCGGCGTGTGGTCTTCCTCGGCTTCGTACCCGGCCGCCTGCCTCTAATCTTACAAACCGCCAACAACACACCCTGTACCTGCCGTTTTGTTCGCGGAACGCAACGGCACCCTCTATTGATTTAGATGCTCTTACTGCGGGGCAGACTCGTGATTGAGACCTTCGCCGTTCACCACGTCCGTAACTTCAGCGATCGCCTAGCCGCTCCAGTCATTTCTCCGATAGTAATTGTTTAGCATCGCAATCTTTCTCAGCAAATCGCGATAGTAATACTGCTCTCAGTTCAAAAGATATAGAAGCTTTTTAATAGTAAACAGTCCCGTTATGAACGCTGCAATCTCGTGCAAAAATTATTTCTACCTTATATATATATATATACACGAAAAGAAAAGTTTGGCTGAAGTAAAAATTTCGTTAGATGCAAATTTAAAAATAATTTAGACTATCACATTAATTATGTAGGACTTTCGAGCATAATGAATAATGCTGTAATAAATTTTGTATTCTAGCAATCAGTTTGAGCGTCCTACCTAATTATTTTGATGGATCCAACAAAATTATTTCAATATCCATAGTTAAATTTTTAGATACTTCAGCAAAACTGTGCTTTCCATTTATAATTTTCTTCTAAAATAATAACTATTTTTATCTTCATGTTAAAAAATGTATAAAGATAATTTATTCGTATTTATGACGCATTTTAATATAAATCAGGATTTTTTTCTTAAGAACAAATTTGATATTCAAATTTAATAGCTTATGCTAATAAATTTGAGAATAATTTTAAATTTATTTTGTAGAAACTATACAAGTAGTTGCTATCTTTTTTTATGTATATTCGGTCTCGGATTCATGAAGTATTGGCAGGCGCTGATAGTACGTGAAAAGCGTTAGAATCTCGAAAAATTGTTGGGCATGCACCTGAAACTCCCGCGACGATTTACGAGCGCGCAGCAGTCTTTAATCTGGCAGGAACCGCCATGCACTTCATGTTCTTAAATTCTGGCTGATGTTCGCGCAGGTGCTATTGATTTAGACGTTTATTCTCGTCGGTTGAGCTTGATCTGAGAATAAGTCTATAAATTACGGAGTACAGTTATAAAAAGAGACATATAAGATCTCTTACATTATCTCGATATATGTTTAGAGAAATTAAATATTGTACACTAATCAAAAATATTCCCCATTTGTATAAAACTGTGCATTTATAGAAAGAAAGTATTAAATGTCTATAAATAGTAATAATAAATAATAAATAGTAATACTATAAATTTTATAAATGGAATTTGTAAAATATATTAAATATTAAATTATTCATTTATCAAGTCGGACGAAGTTATAATGTTATCGAGTGTAGTTGTTGAAGTCAGCGTAACAGAAACAAACCGTGGAGAACAAATTAGCTTCAAAAGGGTTACAAATCAAACTTGAAATTCCATAAATAGTGTCTCGTGGAGGCAGACAACGATTCCTCTTCGAAACGGGCTTTCGTTTAGCTCGGGTGGGACGGGACATGTCAAAGAACTTAATTTCTTCGCGGCGAACCCTAATTTCTCCGGTGTTTTAGTTTAGTATAGGTTCGGCTGGGCATGGCTGTAATCAGAAGGGTCTTAATGGTGGGTTGCTGAGACCGGCGTGTGAACTGTGGGCGTGAACGACTCGCTTCCTATCTTCGGTATCTGACGTGCAGCACGTGCTGGACCGAGAGATGCTCTCGCCGCTATTAAAGAACGCACGCTTGCGTTTCTCCTCTCGAAAACTATCGATGATGTTTTAATGTACAAGTAGAATATTCGCATTTTCGTTAATATGTTAAATTTTTACAATTACATCAGAAAAATTGCCGAGTATTAACAATAAATTTTTGCAAGTTTTCGACAAAACTGTATAACTGTCTTTTGTAATCATTCTTAGCAAATGTCTATATTCATTTAAAACATTTATTTGTGGAATATTGGAAGAAAAGATTTGCTATTGGCTATATCGTGCAGAGACGATACCATTAATAAAAGAAGAACAAAAAGAATCAAATTTTTATAGTCGTTAGAATAGTAGGATAATTTTATTTATTCCTGCGATAAATTCGTTAATAATTAATTGATATGTAACCCTAAACTGAATATTTAATGACAAAAACTGTTTTCCAACTAGAATACGCTGTTTTATTTTGTGTTATACAGTGTAAAGTACTTGTTGAAAGTTTTATAATGTAATACATCAGAGTGCATTGTAGTTTTCTATTTTTATTTTTATAACGAGGATTTAACATATCTATAAGACTCATAATTTTAATTTAGAGTTAAATTGTAAATCTTTCAAGATTAGTGTCAAGCAATAATATTGTATCACAGTTGGAACACTTTCTGTTGGACACAGTGTCATTTGTGTAGTCCATGTATCTTGTTGGAAAACAATTAAAGTTGCGTATTTAAATAGCGCGGTCTTTGTTATGTTCAGCTGGAAGTAGCGGTGACGACTCCGACACGGAAAGCGAGCCTGGCATTGCGCTGAAGAGGAAACAACGTAGAAGCAGGACTACCTTCACTGGAGAACAACTGGAACAATTGGAAGCGGCTTTTCATCGGACGCAATATCCTGATGTATACACCAGAGAGGAACTTGCACAAAAGTAAGTTTCTTAGGAATTCTTTTTCATAAAAAAATTACATATAAAAAAATTGTATTTGTGTAATATTAAATCAATATATTTAATTACATCAATTATCTTTACTGTATAAAATTATATGTTAAATGGAATAAATTATTATAATTTATGACTAAAATTACACATCGCAGGAAAATGCAAAAACTTACTAATACTGTAGACTTTGTGATAGCATAAATTATATATTTGCGATTTGTATTTTTACTGATATTTTTGGATGTTTTTTTTTCGCAGAACAAAGTTAACGGAAGCTCGAGTGCAAGTTTGGTTCAGCAACAGGCGTGCCAGGCTTCGCAAACAATTGAACAGCCAACAGCTGAACGCCTTCAACATGAGTTTACCCTTCCAAACTCAGCACTACGGTAATGGTGCAGAGAGCTATCAGAGCTACGGGCAGGCGAGCGTTGCTGCCGCTGCAGCAACCACCGCCAGCTATTCTCAGCATTACAACTACGGGGAGAACTACTACGCTGCGCAGCAGCAATGGCCACGGGCGACTCCGGATAATTATGGGTAAGTTTTAGCAACTAATGCATTATATTTGTCAAAATGTTCATTTTGTAAATTAACTAGATAGAAAGAAAATCGCGTGAACAGTGTAATGTACTATTAGGAAAAATCGTTGCTGATTTAATAATCTGTTTTTCGTAAATCGTATCGATTTTCGTATATTATGCACTTTTTTCATACAGGATTTTTTATTATCATATTTAGATTTCTCGAATAGCGTTTTTTCTTTCTAATATGAAAATTTAATCATCATTAGGTACTTGCAATTCTATTCCTCAGATCTTGATGAATAATCTACATAAAAATTTTTATTTCAAATCAAATTTAATTTTATTATTTTGATCTAATTATAAGCTCATAAAATTTTATAAATATTCCTTTTCTGAAATTTGAAGTTACGTGGATACGTAACGGATCGAACGCGATATCTCTCGTCCGTGGACACCCCCGCAAAGATTATCCGCGATCGATCATTGCTACCTCGCGGCGCTGCCGCGATCGGTTAAAGCTGGATCACGGTACAGGTACATACATACCCTACGTCGAAGGATCAAGACCCGGGTTGGATTATTAGCCGGTAGCGTTTCATTACGGAGGCCCAAGAAGCAACATAATTGAGGACCACACAGAAAACGTGTCGGCAGGGCCCATTGGTTCTCTTTCTCTTGCTTCCTTGTTCTCCGTGCTTTCTGTCTCTTCTTCTCTCACTTTCCTCTCTCTCTCTCTCTCTCTCTCTCTCTCTCTCTCTCTCTCGCTCACTCGCTCGCTCGCTCGCTCGCTCTCGCTCTATCTCTCTGACTCAAGTGAATCGGCTCGTCCGCTCGACGTGTAACAACACTGTAGCAACCCGGCCACCGGAGCAACCTGTTATTACGCCACAATGGCTGAATTAATTGTTCGAAACACCCTGGCTTCACCGTCTTTATCTCCGCGCATTGCCGCGCGCGCCTCTTTCTCGTGGTGATGTTCCAGGCTTACTGTCTCGCTTGGGCCCCTTTGGGCCTTGTACAACAGCGGACTGGCTCACTGTGCCATCACGTGGTGCACAGAGCGAAGCTTCGCCGGTCTTAAACATCCGGGATAATACTTATGGACCTCTGGTAGAACGTTAGTCTACCTCGTGGGGGGTCGCTTTCCGTAGTTGGTTCTCTTAAGTTCGAACGAATTCGTTGCTGTCGAAGATTATCGTCGTTTTTGCCGTTTCACATTTAGACAAGCGCAGAAACTACAAAACCTCGTGAAATGGCTATGAGTTATGTTAGCGATGCATTCCATCCGAGAAGAAGAAAACAAATCTCGCCACTCGGAAATGTCAATGTGCTTTCTGCTAAGAAACTGTCCCAAGACGTCAGAAAAAAATCATAAATTTCGTTTTAATGATGGTTTTTTGGTCAAGAGAAAAACACAAGTTTAGATATTTGAAAATAATTCAAATAGCACTGAAGCTATTAAAGACAGAAATAATGAATTATTTTCTGACAAAAAGTCAAAAGGAGATTAATATAAAAATTAAAAAGATATTTAAAAAAATGCAATTTACGTTTTTCTGAATTTTTTAGATGATATAATCGAAATCGGTTTGCCTCGAGAGAAATATTTAATCTAGGTCCCATATTTTATTTGATGGCCGATTTTAATTCCGAAGAATTCGCGAGCTGTAAATTTTGGTTGCCATTAAATTCTTAAGAATTCGTTAACGTGACCATAGAAAAAAAATTTGATTTGTGAGCAGAGAAGGAGAGACATTCTTCTGTACGAAAATAGATTCGTAGGGCGGAGTATGGTCGATAAATCGCGCGGCTTCCGCCAGAAACGTCGCGCTACCTTCTAAATAAAAAAAAAGGGAAAGAAATAAAGTTATAGTGCGAACTAGGCCTGGCATCGACTGGATTTAGAGTGCTTAAGCGTCATAGCGAAATGCTCAAAGGGCCGACTTCGTTTTACAATCGTATGCTATAATCGTCTCAAAATATCGATACGCGTTTCAAGTTTATTTTAATTAAGAATTGATTTCTTATACCTTTGGATTTTATCTAATTTTATTTCTTATAACATTTTTCCTAACATATTTTTTAAAATATATCACTAACTTGTTAATTTTATGTACTTTTCAAAACATCATTTATATCATCAAAAGTCTATATGAATCTGTTTCTCTAAAATTCCAAAGATACTGAAGAAATGTTAGTCTTCCCATAGTTCTGTTCATTCAGATATACTAAAATAACTACAGTTATTTTTTTAAGCTTAGAATAACAATATTATAATAAAAGCAACAACGAAGTTTACCACTCAAGGGACAATGATCTGAGATCCTTAATCATGGTAGTGTATCAGAATGCTCAAAGGGCCGCGACGGTGTTTGGAAATCGGCCGCTGCCGCCCTCGACACGCCCTAACCGATTCGCAGAGCATGTGTGAGTGCGGTATCGCCTTGCAAACGGCAGTAACCACCGTTGAGAGAACACGCCGGAATTTCATTTTCGTATTACCGTATGTGGACACCTTTCACCATTGTGCGACTCATTTCATCGTATCGTTTACTCCCCACGTGTCCGTACGTATGCGCACGTACAATAGTTAATTTATATTCAAGATGTCGAACGGAGATATAATTACGAATATTGGCGAATAATATATTCCCTTTAACTGCCGATTGATATATGCCGTTCGTGAGAGAATATCTATCTCTCTTTCCATCAATATTTAATAAGTCAATTGTTACATCATATTCACAATATTATATTCATAATTTTAATAAAAGAATCTTTCCCAGACCTTTCTAAAATTAAGATTGAAAGTTGAATACTTTTACATTGTTAATAATAGCAATTAATAAAATTCTAATGACTAAAAATAATATAATAAGAATAATAATAATAATAAGAATAATAATAAGAAATAATGATTTTCTCCTTTTTCTTATTTATGTGATTTTCTTATTTATGTGATATTGTTCAGAGAACAATTTTTTTTTTTTTTAAGTATCACGTTAATACAAGACAGAGGAATGTAAAAGTTTCGTAATATTACATAATAATTTATTATCGCCGTTTATTTCCTTGTAAGCAGACCTTTGATCTTGCCTGTTGCAGATTGTTCAACGCCTCCCATTACGGCAGCAGCAACCTTGCCTCCAATCTGACTTCCACCAATCTCAATCTGGGCAGTTTGGGGGGCAGCGTCAGCCCGACCGGATCCAACATGAGCGCCTGCATGGTGCAAGGTGGTGGATCTTCCTCCGGGGTACCAGTCTCGACGGGGATGGCGCCTCACGTGACTCCGCATAGCCCTAGCGAGGCGAAGAGCGGATATCCGTACTTGGGCAGCATCGATTCTCAGGTTTGCGGAAGAGTTCACTGAATTTAACCGCGTGAGAAACGATCGCACATCGATTTGTATGCAATTACAGGAAGAAGAAGGCTTAAGAAATTGTTACTGTTATTTATTTTGTTTTTTTAAGGCTCGATTTTTGAATTGATAAAATTTGCACGCGTTTTGAAAAGATTGCTGATTGTTAAACTGTTCTTTATAAGAATATATATTTGTCTTAGCTTTTAATATTAAATAATTATTTGCGTTATTATTGTATGTTATTACTTTTATTAGAAACTCAAAAGATATTTTTTCATCGACAACTATATCATTTCTTGAATGGTTTCTGATTGAAGTAGATGTAAAATATGTTGTATAGTCTTCGAAATTTGGAGAAAAGATTTGTTTTATTTATGATTATGTAATCAGTAATTTATGCATAAGATACAAGCAATTGTAAATATCCTATAATCGCTTTATAAATGGTACATGTAAGCTTTTCCACGACGAAGTTACACTGCATATTTATGATAGAGTTAAACTCACGTTTAAGTCGTACCTAAGTAAGCTGCTCACCGACTTCTGAGAAGTGTCGGTAATTACGAAGATTTATTCGTTAGAGTGATTAGCACTTGGCAGTTGTGAAACAGCGATGCCTCGGATGCTTTACCATCTTAGAATTGCCTTATTATAGTAATAATATAATACAAATGCTCTATTTATATATATAT